ACAGGAAAAGTAGCAACGCCAGAACAAGTATGGATAATGACTGTAACTAGCACATTTAGACATTTTTCACTATTATTAATACTTTACTTTTGATCGTTTATTTCATCCACTAGGCTCAGGAGGCTCACTTTATTATTCGAGATTGGTTAGCAGAGAACGTATCTAAAAATGTTGCTCAAGAAACACGTATTATATATGGAGGTAATACAAAACAAACATTTGAAATATTTATGTTTCTAATATATGACAAATTTAACATTTGTATTTCGATGTTAGGCTCTGTTAATGATACGAATTCTCCAGAACTTTGTGAGTTTATTTTCTAGCCGTTAATCTATTAAATGAAAGAACCATCGAAATTTGCAATACTAAAATTATTTTTTGCATTGTACATGAACATTCAGCGAAACAACTTGATGTTGATGGATTTCTTGTAGGTGGTGCTTCTTTAACAGACAAATTTATTAAAATTATTAAATGTTTCATTCCCGAAGCTTAATTCTCGTCAAAGTAAGAAATTTTAGTTACAATATTAAATCAATATAAAATCTATTATTAATATTATACAAATATCATACTAGAACTTAACATTTGTTGACTAAAGTTGAAGTACGTAATAAAGAATTTCTATCTTGAGAGCTAATTTTGCAATGGCTGATAATGTTTAATAATGATCGTTTTATTAGTATTCAAAAAATTTTTTCATTAAATTTATGCAGCAGCAAAATTTTTTTATAATTAAACTATAAACGGAATTTGCAAACTTATAAACGTATTTGTGACAGCAACTTTGTAAAAGTTATTTTAAAAAAAGAACATTATAATCAAAACTTGGAATTTTTCGAAGCTAATACAAAAATAGAAATAATATATGTAATAAGTTTTTTCGAAAAACTCCAACGCATATAATGTCAAAGCAACGTCAATGCATTTAATTCATTAAATGTTGATAAAGTTGTTTACATGATTCATTTACCAATTCATTTACGTGATTTACGCGATTTATTTACGCACGATTCATTCATGCACGATTCATTCACGCATGATTCATTCACGCATGATTCATTCATGCAATTCATTTATGTATTATGATTGGACTAAAATTGATCCTTTAGACAATGTTTTAAATGATTATATAATATTTAATTTTAAGGATTTAAGTTTTCACGCACCTGTATGGTAGTGCATTCACTAAATCAGTTAAAAATATTGGATTTGTATTACGCATCGAGACGGTTTGATGGAATTTGATTTTTATGTAAAAACGTATCTTAAATTTATAGAAATAGACCCTTAGTTGAATCTCAATTTATATAAAGCAGCTTAAAAATTAACTCTATTTAGTTAAATTTGGTAACTTAAATAAAGGTGTGTCCGCTGCGATAATTATTCAAATTTAATTTTTGCATTAGCCCCTCAAAATATTGTACGAGTTGACCTATCAAATTTAAGACCAGCCGGATCTTGAAATTTGATTGGTCAATATTTTGAGGGCAAGTTGTTACAGGTTTATGAGTGCATCGGGCTTTCAATTTTACTTTGTACCGGGATTGATCCGACTTGTATATGAATTATTATAAAAACTGATTAATGAATTGAGACGTTGGACACAATCATTAATACTGTAATAAATCAAATAAATTGAGTCCGGTACAAAATATAATTGTAAGCTCGATGACAATTTTTTCCTTGACATAAGACTACTATATAAATGCAACTTAACCTGCTGAATTAAGTAGTTATCTTAGAACAAAAAAAAAAAAAAGTTAACATTGAATCAAAATTTTAATTATACCTTTTTTTCTTTACTAAGATAACCAACTTTCGTCTTTAAATAATTATTTTTACATAAGTATAATGTCCTTAAATTAATCTACTGTTATATACACATATTATTTTTACTTAAAAAACTTTTAAAGAAGGGTGCATTGCGTACAGGGTACATTAAACCTATTTTTTCTAATTTTAAATCTTTTTATATTCTAAATAGCCTATAACAACGCTTCCTAAAACATTTGATGACTTAAGCATAGTTTTTTCAAAGTATTCATTGCCATGTCAGTTTTTTAAAAAGAATATTCTATAATATGACATTAATTAAATCACACCTAAGGTTGGCTGATGTAGTTTATTTAGCTAATAACGATAATGCACACTACGTCTCAAATTATATGAACAAAAAAAAAAACGAAGGTTCATTATTTAAGTAAATACAATAAATAACATTTATTTTCAAATAATTCTTCGCGATACAAATAATTATAAAAAAAAAAAAAAAGATTGTAACGCATCAAACGAAGAAACAAGAAATGAAATTTCTTATATGGCAATTTTCAACTAATTAGATAGTGCAAGTTATAAAGTTATAAACGAAACGAAAAATTGAAAATGAGTTTGAAAAATGTTTAATTTAATTATACATTAGAATTCATTTTTTTATTACTTATCCAACAAATGTTGTCGTGTCGTAAAAGAAAAAAACCCTATGTCATAAATATGTGAGTATTGAGGCGTAAAGTGGTATTTATGGAAAGCAAACTGCAAAAAAAAAAAGAAAGAAAAAGAAAAGAAAAAAAGAAAAATAAACTAAAATAATAAAGAAAATAAAAAAAGAAATAATAAAGAAAAAAGAAAAAAAAAGCTCTTTGCAAAAATACTACCTTGACTTCTTTAAAAATCGATTGTAGATCGG